TCTTTCTTTCTCTCTCTCTCTCTTTCTGTCTCTCTTTCTTTCTCTCTCTCTCTTTCTTTCTTTCTCTCTCTTTCTTTCTGTCTCTTTCTTTCTCTCTCAATCTCTCTCTCTTTCTCTCTCTTTCTTTCTTTCTCTCTCTCTTTCTTTCTCTCTCTCTCTTTCTTTCTTTCTCTTTCTCTCTCTCTCTCTTTCTTTCTTTCTTTCTTTCTTTCTTTCTTTCTTTCTTTCTTTCTTTCTTTCTTTCTTTCTTTCTTTCTTCCTTTCTTTCTTTCTTTCTTTCTCTCTATTGGGTGAACTCTAAAAAGGAATGTACGAGGGGCCTTGGGGTCCTTCCTCCCTTTTCATAGAGAGATTCCACTTTATGAGGGTAACCCCGAATTCCTCCACTACCTCTGAATTCCGGCATCACGTAGAGATCTTCGCCGAAGAGGATTGGGCCATCCCAGGTGCAGTAACTCAGGTAGTGGAACTGATAGCCGACAATGGTGTGTCCTGCAGAGGAAAAGTTGCAGCAAACAGAGTCAACGGCGGGCAACGGAAAGGAAGGGAAAGCCTGAGCTCTGCAGAGGGGATGAGGAATGCAACGGCTTCATAATTCACGGGCCTCGGGGCGGGGTGTGAATTTAATGCACCTGTCTCTCTCTGTGGCCCATTGCAAGAATTTCCTTGGGTTTTCCCCGGTGATGCATTAAGATCTCTGCCTCCGAGAACCAGGTTGTGAAACCAGGTTCAAAAGTTTTTGTAAGGTGCAATGGAATGGAATGGAATGAGATAGGAATAGGAATAGAATAGAAAAATAGAATAGAATAGAATTAAGAATAGAATAGGAATAGAATAGAATAGAATAGGAATAGAATAGAATAGAATAGAATAGAATAGAATAGAATAGAATAGAACAGAATAGAATAGAATAGAATTAAGAATAGAATAGGAATAGAATAGAATTAAGAATAGAATAAGAATAGAATAGAATAAAATTAAGAATAGAATAGGAATAGAATAGAATAAAGAATAGAATAGAATAGGAATAGAATAGAATTAAGAATAGAATAGAATAGAATAGAATAGAATTAAGAATAGAATAGAATAGGAATAGAATAAAATTAAGAATAGAATAGAATAGGAATAGAATAGAATAGAATTAAGAATAGAATAGGAATAGAATAGAATTAAGAATAGAATAGAATAGGAATAGAATAGAATTAAGAATAGAATAGAATAGAATTAAGAATAGAATAGAATAGAATTAAGAATAGAATAGGAATAGAATAGAATAGAATAGAATTAAGAATAGAATAGGAATAGAATAGAATAGAATTAAGAATAGAATAGAATGTGGAATGGAATAGAATTAAGAATAGAATAGAATAGAAAAGAATTAAGAATAGAATAGAATAGAATAGAATAGGAATAGAATAGAATTAAGAATAGGAATAGGAATAGAATAGAATAGAATTAAGAATAGAATAGAATTAAGAATAGAATAGAATGTGGAATGGAAGGAATGGAATGGAGGGGAGGGGAGGAGAGAAGAAGAGAATTCTGGGCCAGAATGGAGTCATAAGGGGCCTGGATGGGGGCACTTATTTTATCCATCCATCCATCCATCCATCCATCCATCCATCCATCCATCCATCCATCCATCATTATCTTTCATCTGTCTGTCTATCTATCTAATCTAATCTAATCAATCATCTATAATGTATGTATCATCTATCAACCTATCTAATCTATATCTATCCATCCATCCATGTCTGTCTCTGTCTGTCTATCTATCTATCTATCTATCTATCTATCTATCATCTATCTAGTCGGTCATTCATTCATTCATTCATCCATTCATTCATTCATATCCCACCTTTTTTGTTTTTACAACTAAGTCGAGGCAGTGAATATACCTATAATATATCTATTTCCTGTTCCTATTTTCCCCACAACAGCCCTGTGAGGTGGGTTGGGCTGAGAGAGAGAGTAACTGGCCCTAAGTCACCCAGTGGCCTAAGGCGGGACTAGAACTCACTTGTCGCTTGAAGATTGGCTCAGAGTAACCCAGCTGGCTTCCATGCTTAAGGCGAAACTAGAACTCACTGTCTCCTGGTGATTGGTCTAAAGTCACCCAATTGAATTTCATGGCTAAGGCGGGACTAGAACTCCCCGTCTCCCGGTGATTGGCCCAAAGTCATCCAGCCATCCTTCCTATGGTGAATCTAGAACTCACCATCTCCTGGTTTCTAGCCTGGCACCTTAACCACTAGACCAAATTGGCACAAGCCAGGCCAAACCCTCTTCCATTTGCTCAGCCACCGTAACCAACCCAATGATGTTGATAAGACATATCATTTTTTGGGGGGAGCGTCACCTTCGCCTTCACCCCCAATTCCCACAGCATCTCTGGCCACGCAGCCTCCTTCTCCCACCCTCCCAAGAGCTGGGATCCCCCCCATTTCCCCCACCCCAATAAAGGGGACCCCGGGGGGGGGGTGTCTTGCTGTACCTTCTTTGCTTTTTTGTGCGGGGGGCACCTCGGCCACCAGGTACCCGAAGATGGCGTCTTTTTCAAACCCATCCTTCTGGAGAGCTGTGGAAGTTCAGAGAAGTTTATCAAGTTTTAAAACAGGTTAACCGCTTGTTTGGCAAGTTTTCCATTTGATCTTGGAATGGAAGGTAGGGGGAAAAAATAGCAACACTGATACACAACACAACACACACACACACACCATTTTTAAAAAGCTCGCTGGGAGTTCGGAGTTGCCAATTTTTTTTAATGAATTAAGGGAGAGAATCTTTGCATTTTATCTCCTTCCTTCCTTCCTTCCTTCCTTCTATATATGTATATAAAAGTGAAATACCACGTGCATCATCACAAAATCTCCAGAATCATAAAGCCTACAAACTTGAAATTTGGCACATATGTTCCTCGTGGCTTCTAGGGGCTCCCTAAGAAAGGATTTTTCCAAATGACCCTCAGAGCATTTAGAGTATTTCCTATATTATTATTATTAACAGGCTCTGATGCTAAGGAGTCCTACTCCCCCTCCCCCACCAGGAAAGAAATCTCTTCCAAAGGCAAAACACAAGCAGAGGAGTTTCAGTTTCAGTTTCAAAGCACCAAGCAGCTTCAGTACAGAACAGTTGAGCTAAGCCACGCCCAGGCTCCTTGCTGTCTCCTTGCTCACACAGCAAATACTCTTTCAGTTTTCAAACAGCCCTCAACTCTCTCACACACTGACAGGACGCTAGCCACATGAATACCAATGGATGCTGGTAGGCAGAGGCCTTATTTTCCTTCCCAGCTTCATCACTTAGTTTCGTAGCGAAGCACGGGGATCGAGCCAGTACTTTGATAAACCAATAAAAAAGTTTTAATTGAAAGAGAGAATCCAAGGATTTGCTGGGACCTGTTCTGGAGATTACCATGTTAACTGATTTTAACCGAATAACAGAGTCGGAAGGGATCTTGGAGGTCATCTAGTCCAATCCCCTGCCCAAGCAAGAGACCCTACCACTAGTCCTCAACTTAATGGCCATAATGGAGCCCCAGATTTCTGCTGCGGAGCGAGACAAATCAAGGAAAGTTTCATTTTACGTCCTTTCTTGGCCACTGTTGTTCACCGAATCGCTGCAGTTGTTCAGGGAGGAACATGGTCGTTAAGTGAATTGGATGCGGCTCATCACAAGGTCGCCAAAGGGAATCACGTGACCCACCCACCCCTGGGATGCTACGACAGTCATAAATAGGACTCAGTGCTTACAGTCGTAAGGCTGAAAAATGGTCATGTCGCTTTTTTTCCAATGCTGTTGTAATTTGGAACAGTCACTACATGAAGTGTTATAAGTCGAGGAGCAAGCTTGGGAGCAAGCTAAGAGACACTGTTATTCTCTCAAGAGATACCCTACTGAAAGGAGAAGTTTGACCTGTTGCACTCCTGCCTGCCTGTGTCCCATATAGATAGACTTATAACCATTCATTTAATGACCCTTCAAAGTTACAAGGGCACTAACAAAAGACACTCTGACAATGTTTCACACTTACGACCATTGCTGCATGACATGATCAAAACTCAGATTCTGAAAATACCCGAACAAAGCTGAATGCCATACATACATACATACATATATACATACATACATACATACATACATACATACATGTATGTATGTATATATGTATGTATGTATATGTATATGTATATGTATATATGTGGATCTTTGCTTATTCGGGTTTTATCCCGCGTAAGATTTGAAGTATCTAGGCAACGTTTCGATGAAGTCTCATTCATCATCTTCAGGCTTGTGTCTTCCGCTCTGTGCTTCTCAGAGTGATGTGAGCTTGCAGCTGCTTCTTCCTTTTAACTGCTAGTGGGGGTGTGACTTGATTGGGTGGGGGCTTGGCTGTGTTCTGATTGGGTGGGGGTGTGTTCTCATTGGTTGGGGGGTTGGCTGTGTTCTGATTGGTTGGGGGGTTGGCTGTGTTCTGATTGGCCAGAGGTGTGTTCTGTTCAGGTGGGGGCTTGGTTGTGCTCAGGTTAGTCTTAGTTGCTGGGGGATTTGAGCTGGTGAGCTGTGATCTTGCTGTTTGGCTTCGAGTTCGTGGTCGTGCTGCATCTTCATGGTGGGGGTCAGTTCGCTTCATGTATGGCTCGGAGGGGTTTGAAGTGGGTAGTGATGCAGCTGCAGTGTGGCTTCTGGTCCGTGGTCGTGTCTCATCTTCTGTGTGGGTGTGAGTCTGCTTTTTACGTGGAAGTGTGGTGGTGGCATCTTTTGTGGGTCTGGTGGGTGTGGGTCTGGTGTCATTCTTCATGTTAGGTACTCGTCTGTTCATGAGGGCGGGTTTCCAAATGGCTGGTAGGCGGGAGGTGTCATCTCTTTTATTCATGCTGTGTGGGCGTTTTTCTATCTCTATGGCTTCTCTGATTATTCTGTTGTTGAAGTGTTCGGTTTTGGCGATAGTTCTGGTATTTTTAAAGTCAATCTCATGTCCTGTGGCTTTGAGGTGTTGGACCAGGGAAGAGGTCGGTTCTTCTTTTTTGATTGAGTTCTTATGTTCTTCAATGCGTGCACTTATCCTTCTGTTAGTTTGTCCAATGTATGTGGTGGGACAGGCGGTGCACGGGATTTCGTATACTCCTTGGTTTTCTAACTCGATTTTGTCTTTAGGGTTTCTTAGGATGGTGGATATTTTTCTGTTTGTGCAGAATGCTGTTTTAATGTTGTGTTTTTGGAGGATCTTGCTGATTTTGTCTGTAGTGCCTTTTATATATGGGAGGAGGGCTTTGCCATTCTCTTGTTCTCTGTCTTGGATTTTGGTTGGGGTTTCTTTTTGGATTAGGTGGGTAATCTTCTTTCTTTGGAATCCATTGGCTGTTAGTACGTTGGTGAGAGTGTGTAGTTCGGTTTTTAGGTGTTGTTCGTTGGCTAAGCATTTTGTTCTGGAGATGAGTGTCTTGGCTACGGAATTGATCTGTGCTGGGTGGTGGTGTGAGAGTGCGTGTAGATAGCGGTTTGTATGTGTTTTCTTCTGGTAGATGGTGTGTCCTAGGGAGCCATTGGGTTTTTTGTATACCAAGACATCTAGGAAGGGAAGTTGATTGTTAGCTTCTATTTCCATGGTGAATTGTATTTTGGGGTGTAGGCTGTTGAGGTGTGTGAGGAAGTTGTTCAGTTTTTCTTTCCCGGATCTTTTGCTACCGGATCTTTTGCCCGGGAAAATCCTTCATTGGAGAACGTGATTGATGACGCCCAACCCGTGGACATGCTTCACTAGAGAATCTGATTGATGACACGCCCAGGGGAGAGTGGGGGAAACAGGGTCACAGGTGACAGTAAATTACTATGCCGGAGTTGGCTTCATTTAAGTTAATGCTGACAAGTTGCTCCTAATAAATCTTTTGGATTCTTGTGAAGCTTGGCTGGAGGCTCATGATTTTATTCGGGCAATCGCCCAGAATCCTGACAACTTGCGTCCATTTCCCTCGGCTTCCTTTTCACGACCAAAGGCCTTCATCAACTCCTTCTGTGGCCATCAAGGCTTTCCTGAAGGCCTCTGCAGCCGATAATGGAGCTCTGGATCGATCCAGAGCTTTGTGACCAGCTCCAGAGGCCTTCAGGAAAGCCTTGCCGGCTGCCGAAGAAATGGGCCAGAAAGGCAGGTGCCGGGGTGTGTGAGGCCTGGCTACAACTATCCAAAGGTAAGTAGTAGGGCAGCTCCACTCCCCCCACATCCCCACCCTAGCTTAATTTTTACCCATCCACTCTGTAGTGGGCGGGATCTTAATTAGGGCTTATTTTGGGGGTAGAGCTTATATTGGGCACACATGTATAAAAAAATCAAGCTAGGACTTACTTTCGGGGTAGGTTGTATTTTCAGGGAAACAAGGTATTTATGACGGTTTGCAGTGTGCTGGGGTCACATGATCCACTTTTGCGACCTTCTGACCAGCAAAGTTCACGGGGAAGCCGGATTCACTTAACAACCGTGTGATTCCCTTAACAACCGCAGAGATTCCCTTAACAACGGGGAGGGGGAGAACGATAGCGAGAAGGGGCAAAACTCACTTCACTGTCTTGCTTAGCCACAGAAATTTGGGGCAGAGTTATGGTCGTATTTGGTTCCGTTAAAAACTTTTTTGTTTTGAGTTTTGGTTTGCATCCTGAAGATGGTGGCACGTGTTTCTTACCTTCTGGAGAAGTTCTCACCTGGTGGAGTGCGTTGTGAGACACCGCCAGTTCCTGAAAATGATGGAAACACTCATGAGTGGACCAGAACGTTCTGGAATCTTCTCTGGGGTCTCACTCCAGCGGGGAGATTCCAAAACAGAGCCCATTTCTCCGTCTTCTCCATCTGTCCTCAACTTCAGACAACCACTTCTTTGTTTAAAAAAGTGCTATCAAGGTTTCTCCAGCAGTAGGAAAAGATCAAGATGGGTTCTTCTTGCTCACCCAACTCCATCCATCCACCCCAAGTCAAGGCTCTCCTTACTGGGGAAGATGGAAAGAAAGAGAAGAAGGGGAGGATGACCAGGAAAGTGGAGGAGTCAAGTCCTACTGGACTTGACTCAAGTCCTACTTGATTCAAGTCCTACTGGAGATGGGGGCTTTGTTGGAAGAGCTGAAGGACTAGGGTGGAGACAAGTGTTCTAGGAGGTTGTTAAGAGTTGACACTGTCTTGATTGTCACTATCAATCAATCAATTTCTATTGAGGTAATCCATGCAACCTTGAGAGAAATCCATAATGGTGGGAAAGGTGGAAGGGAAGAGAAGAGAAGAGAAGAGAAGAGAAGAAAAGAAGACAACCAGAAGAGATGGACAGAAGTGTAGTGGTGATGGAGGCACCCTTAGAAGAACCTAAAGGACCAGCTACTATCTTCATGAAGAACAATAAAGAGGTTGCTAAGAGTTGCACTGCCTTGATCACTCATCATCAATCAATCATTCAGTTTCTAATGAGGCAATTCATACAACCTCCACAATGGTGGAAAAGATGGAAGAGAAGAGAAGAAGACAATCAGAAGGAAGGTGGATGAACTGAAGTGAGACGGGGACATCGTTAGAAGGCCCGAAGGATCTGGTTGGAGACAGATCTTCAAGGAGAATTTCTACGTGGTCAATCAGAACTGATCGGACAGAAGAACATCAATCCATGGGAAGACCCAGCCCTCTTGAGAAGTCCATGAGATCGGAAGGAAGGAGAAGATTAGGAGGACCAGCAGTATGGGTGAAGGACTCGGCTATAGTGATGATGGAGGCACCGTTGGAAGAACCGAAGAACCAGGGTGGAGACAGATCTTCACGGAGAACATCTAGGAGGTTGTTAAGAATCGACACTGCCTTGATGGTCACCATCAATCAATCAATTTCTATGAAGGCAACCCATACAATCTCCAGAGAAGTCCGTAATGGTGGGAAAGGCGGAAGAGTAGAGTAGAAGAGAGCACAACCAGAAGAAAGGTGGATGGACTGTGGGGCAGCGATGATGGAGACACCGTTAGAAGATTGGAGAGAGATCTTCATGACCCGAGTAGCTCAGTGTTTTTCAGCCTTGGCGACTTTAAGTTGGGTGGACTTGTCTTCAACCACCAGAAAAGACCCTGAGAGTTGAAGTTCACCCAACTTTAAAAAGTCTCCAAGGTTGAGGAACCTCCTCTAGATGGTCACTTTGGATTCGTGGCACATAAACCAGGAATCAAAAACAAAGTTATGGCCAATCCCCAGCCTTCCTCCTGACCGCCTTGAGGCCCCACTGCCTCTCTTCTGCCCTTCCACCGTCCAGCTTCTCACCTTCACCAGCCGCATCACATCCCGGACGTCCCTTTTGGCCCAAGGACGGATGAGGAAGCTCATGGTAGCCAGGAGACGTCTCGAAGAACCTGCCGTTGTTCCTTCACTGGACGTCGGTCCTTTAAAGGCCTTGTTTGACCCTTGCCCCGCTGTCACTGGCCGGCCTTCTCCGCTTGGTTGCATGCCCTCAATGACCACAGATGGTGGGAGGAGGGCAAGCTGGCCTGATCTGAAGCAGATCACAAGTTCCAGCTTGATCTTTAACACAGTTTCTTCATACTGTGGGTTTTTATTTTTTGGCCTCTGCCTTGTAGACGTGCTGTTCCCTGTTGCAAATTAACCTTCTTGGGTGCAGATCTCTTTCGCACTCGGCTCCGTTACGGGACTCTTGTCCTGCTTGGAAGAGGGCCAAGAGTCCCTCGTGGGCACTGGACGTGAGAGGCCACTGTCCTTCTGGCCACCGGGGTCATCCTCTCCCCGTGAGACGGCACATGCCTTCTTCAAGGGGTCTGTTAAAGGCACAAGATCGGCATTTCCACGGCATGCAAACCTGGTTAGTTGTAACCTTGGTTAGGTAGTAGAGTAGTGCCTTCACCATAAAAAAGCCAGTTGGGTCACTTTGGGCTAATCACCAGGAGGCTGTGAGTTCTAGTTCTGTCTTAGGCATGAAAGCTGGCCGGGTGACGTTGGGACAGTCTGCCACTTGCCGTCCAACCTATCTCGCAGGGCCATTTATTGTGTGGAAAAGAGAAGGAGGGAGAATTATTACGTAGGTTTCCCATCTCGGGTGACTTAGGCGAGTCCTAAAGGCAGGATGAAAAGAAAACCGAACGGATGGACAAACCGAAAGACTGGGGTGTGTGAGGAGCCCCTCCACTCAGAAAGTGTGTGGGAAAGGCCGCATGTCAAGTGTGGCATTGTGCAACATTTGTCGCTGGCAAAGAACAAGCTAACAACTCGAGAGGATGTGTGGAAGACACGACCTGGGCAGAAAAAAGCCACGTAGGTCACAATATGGAAGGCACCCCACTTCTCTTTGTCGTCCCCCCCCTCCCCACAATATCTCTATGGCCATTTCCCCCACCCCTCTGGAAAATTGTACCTCTGGTCCTCAACTTACGACCACAACGGAGCCCAAAATTTCCATTGCTTAAGCAAGAAAAATGAGTTTTGCTGCTTTGTATGACCTTGCATGCCCCGGTCGTTAAGCGAAAGACTGCGGTTCTGAAGAGAGTCACGCGGTTGTTCAGTGAAACCTGGCTTCCCCACTCGTCAGAAGGTCACAAAAAGGGGATCGCACGGCAACCGTCATAAATATGAACCAGCTGCCAAGCGCCAGAATTTTGATTGCGTGCCCATGAAGAGGCTGCCACGGTTCGTTAAGTGTGAAAAACGGTTGTAAGTCTCATTTCCCAGTCCCGTTGGACCTTTGAACGGTCACTAAACGAACCGTTGTAACTCAAGGACCATTTGTAATTCCCCCTCCCCCTGCTTCGAGGCAGGCTGTTCTTTTAAATTTAGCTCATCCATTTGGGGATAAAAGTCGATTGAATGATCAAGTTTATTAAAATACTAGCTCGATCCCTGTGCTTCCCTACGAAACCATACGGTGGGGCTTCGTTTTGAGGGGAGGAAAATAAGAGGGGAAAATATCTGCCTCTGCCTACCAGCATCCATCGGAATTCCTCTGGCTAGTGTCCTGTCAGTGTGTGAGAGAGTTGAGGGCTGTTTGGAAACTGAAACAGTATTTGCTGTGTGAGCAAGAAGGAGACAGCAAGGAGCCTGGGCGTGGCTTAGCTCAACTGTTCTGTATTAAAGCTGCTTGGTGCTCTGAAACTGAAACGAAAACGCCTCTCCTCTCTTCTGCTTGCCTTTGGAAGAGATTGATTTTTGGCATTTGTGGTGGCCTACCTTGCAGGGTTGTGCAGTGCATCAGGCCTTTTTTCAACTGAGCTGACCTTGGCCACGCCTGCTTTGCAATACAGGTTGTCCTCGACTTACGACAGTTCATTTCAATGACCGTTTTTTCACCCTTACGACCGTTGCGATCAAAATTTAGATGCGGGGGGGGGACCGACTCATATTTATGACAGTCGCGGCGTCCCGCAATCCCCTTTTGCAACCTTCTGAGAAGCAAAGCCCATGTGGAAAGCCAGATTCACTTAACAACCTTGTCGCTCACATCTCAACAGCAGCGATTGACTTAACGACGGCATCAAGAAAGATCGTAAAAGGGAGAAACAGCATCAAAATTGATAGAAAAGATAGAGGCATATGGAAAGGTGGCTGGTTTGAAAATGAATAAAGATAAGACAAAGATTTTGACAAAGAATATGCTATCAAGACAAAAGAAAGAACTGGCAGATCTATTGAAAATTCAGGTCATGAATAAGATCAAGTACTTGGGGATACATTTGACAGCAAGATGCAGTACACTAAAAGAATAATTATATCAAACTTAAGCAGCAGATAGCGCTAGATTTGGCGAAATGGGAAAATTTACAACTGTCATTAATAGGGAGAACCTCAACAATCAAGATGAATATATTACCCATAATTTTATATTTGTTCCAAACAATCCCAATTAGGCTTGGAAAAGATTACTTTGAAGATTTAAATAAAATTGTATTGAAATATATATGGCAAGGTAAGAAAGCGAGAATAAAGTTAAAACTTTTGCAAGATGCCAGAATAAGAGGAGGATTTGGTTTACCAAGCTACAAATTTGATGTGGGTTAAGGAATGGGTAACATTAAGAAATACTAGATTGTTGACATTAGAAGGGCATGATCTGTTGTTGGGGTGGCATGCTTTTCTATGGTATAAAGGAACTAAAACACAGGGGTAACTTTAGAAGACATTATATACGGGAGTCTCTGTGGATAAACTGGGAGAAGACTAAAACACAGTGTTATCTGAAAACACATTCAAGGTATGATAAAGACTCTAAAATAGAAGGTTTCTATGATAAACTGACTGATTTAGATAAGATTTTGACAGGTACTGATGAAAAGGTGATTAAAAAAATGTATGGATACTTATTAGAAATTAAACTAGAAGAAGAACAAGTTAAAGAAACAATGATTGCTTGGGGGAAGAATTTTGGATATGGGATCGATTTAGAGAAATGGCAAAAATTGGAGTCTCAAAATTATAAAATGACAATGTCAACAGCATATAAAGAAAATTTGTATAAGATGTTTTACAGGTGGCATTTTCCCCCAGACAAGAATAGCAAGAATGTTCAAGAACAAATCTGAAAAATGTTGGAAATGTCATCAGACACCTGGCTCATATTACCATATGTGGTGGACTTGTGCGGATGCTAAAAAATACTGGACTAAAATCCACATGTGGTTGGAAAAAATGACAAAAAAATATATAGATTTGAAACCAGAGATATTTTTATTGGGAATTTTACCTGAAATATATAGTAAAGAATTGAAATACCTGATTGTAAATGTATTAATAGCAGCTAGGATTGTATTTGCTAAAAACTGGAAAAATGAGAAAATACCATCACAGGAGGAAATCATTAAGAAAATATTGGAATGTGCTGAAATGAGTAGATTGACATTTGAAATCAGAGAACAAGATGATAAGCAATTTTATAAAATTTGGGATCTATTCTATCAATGGTTAGACAATAAAACATGGTAATGAAATATGTAGATTCTTAGAAAATAATAAATATATAAAGATGTATTCTTTTCTTATTATATACAAAATGATTGTAGGATAGATTTGAGATGATAATATGAACTGTCATAAAACAAATTAAGTAAAATATGATTATTTCATAAAACATGAATGAATAAAAGTATAGTCAAATGATTGATTAACAATGATATTAATTTATTTAATACTTGATTGAAAATATGAGAATATATACAATGTAATTGTAATTGAAGACTGCGAAATGGAAGCACAAAACGATTTGTAAACCAACGGGCACACTGTATGTATATATATGGAAGATGGCTTGATGTTTTTATGTTTTGTTTGTCTATGTTCGTCTTAAAAACCAATCAAAATTTATATATATAAAAAAAAGAAAGATCGTAAAAGGGGGGCAAGATCACTTAACAACCTTGTCTCACCTTCTGATCCAGCCAAGTCCGGGGGGGGGGAAAGAAGCCCAATTCACTTAACGACTGTGTGACTCACTTAACAACTGCAGTGATTCACTTAATGGCGGCCAGGAAGGTCATAAAATGGGGCAAAACTCACTTGGCAAATGTCTCGCCTAGCAACAGAAATGTGATCATCACTTAGTTCTTTCATTTAATTCAACAATTCAAGTAATTAATTTGAGCTTGTTCAACTAATTAATTCAGATTTAATTCTCTCTGATATTTAAGGAGGAATTTCAAGATAAAACTATACCCGGAAGTTCCAATTTAAATCTCCAGATGTGTCTACTCTTCAGTTTCTTATCTCTATGCACAGGAAGATGGCGCGGAGCCTGAAATCCTCCAATTCTCGCGAGACGCGACGTGGCTCCAGAGGGCGGAGCCCGAAGTGTCATGGCGGTTACCTTTCGCCGCCCATCGCCTCAACGCAGAGAAGAAGCTTCCGGGAGGAAAGGAGAAGGCGGGCCGCCTTTCGCCTCCTCCTCCTGGGAAAGCTGCCGCGGGGAGGCCCGGAGCTCGCCTCTGGTGGCACTCCGCAACTCTACACGCGCCCTATCATTCGCACCGTTACGGTGGTGACACGTGTCGACCCCCGCATAGCCAGTCGCGTGTCAATGCTTTCCCGGCCGGGTCAGGATTCAGGAGGCTTAATTTGAAGGGTGGCCAACTTTAATGTATTATTTCATCAGGTGGATTAAATCCTTGTTACAAATCGCTTTAAGGTTGTGCAGCCCTTAATTTATTATTTTATTAAGTTGATCATTTATTCAAAATTAATGTTATTTCATTGAACTTTTTATTATTATGCATGAAGTTAATTGATGTAATGGTGTCCATCCCATAATTTATTGCATGAATCATGAATGAATGAAGGTCACCCTTAGTTTGTTATATCACTGAATTGTGTAATAATTTACTATTATGTATAAAATTACTTTATTACCGTATTTATTTTATTAATCATAAATGAA